TTTCCTGCCTCAACCTCCCGAGTGCTGGGATTGCAGACATGCACCACCCTGCCTGGCCACAGTTTACTTTTGAAGTCATTCCCTCCAACCACTTTAGAATTTTTTTAGTTATTTTGAGAACTATAATTCATTTTGTAATCTAAACTGAGATGAAAATGCTGTTGCCTAAGGTATGAAAGTAGAAGATGGAATGGTTGGGGGGGTTGGTGGTGCACACCTGAGAGGCTGAGGCGGGAGAATCAGCACGAGTTTGAGGCCAGCCAGGGCTACGTTGTGAGTTCAAGGCCAGCCTGAACTACATAGTGAGATCCTGTCTCAAAACACCAAGAATAAAAAAGAAAATATGATGATATTAATATTTTAATTTTTTTCTTTTTAAAATAACTTGCAGTTTTATAGTAGCAGAATGCCTTTGAATAAGGTCCCAGACTAGTGGTAACTAGGATACCTCTCAGATCATTTTAAGTATATGAAAGAGCAAAAACTAAATTAGATCCGTCATTTATGAAATAGACAATAGTTGGTGTCTTTACCAAGGAAGTAGCCTGCTCTTCAAATGTAGGAATAGGGCTGGGGAGACAGCAGTCTAAGCGCCTGCCTGGCAAGTGCAAGGTCCTGGGTTGGGTCCCTGGTACTGCATCCCGTGCTAGTCCTGTGCCAAGCTAGCCACTGAAACCTGTAATCCCAGTGCCAGGGAGGCTGAAGTAGAATGAACTCTGTGAGTCTGAGCTGTGTAGCAAGACCCTGTACCAAATAATTTTTTTTTTTAAAGAAAACAAATATAGGAATATTTGCACTGAAACATTAGGAAATTAAGTAGAAAAATGGATTTTGAGGAATAGAAGGAAACACTTTTTTGTTTTTAAAGATAGGATCTTGGGGCCGGGGGAAGGCTCATGGAATAAGCGCTTCCCTGGCAAGCTCAAGGGCCTGAGTTCAATCCCCGGTTCCGCAAAAAAAAAAAAAAGATAGGATCTTAATATGTAGTTCAGGCTGGCCTTGGACTTACTGTATAGGGCAAGATTGCCTGGAACTCTCAGTGACCCTCCTGCCTCAGCCTTTTTTTTTTTTGATACTGGGAATCAAAGTCAGGACTTTGTACTTGCTGAGCAGGTGTGTCTCAGCCTCCTGGGTGCTGGGAGTGCAGCTGTGCACCCTGTCACCATGCCTCGCTACAGGAAACACTTTTTACAATTATATTACCCAAGAGCTGTGGAGATGGCTCAGCGCTCCAAGTGCCTGCCTGGCAAGTGCAAGGCCTCGGGTTTGATCCCTGGCACTGCATGCCGTGCTGGCCACATGAGCTGGCCAGTGAGCCCAGGCGTGGTGGTGCACGCCTGTCATCCAGCGCTGGGAAGGCTGAAACAGGAGGATCACTACGAGTCAAAGCTGTGTAGTGAGACCCTGTACCAAATACATAAAAATTTTTTAAAAAATTATATTACCTAAGAGTTGTGAAGACACATCTGTGAATTCTGTGATACACTGGGCTCTGGGATGGCGGGGCTGATGTGTTCACCTTTCTCATAGACGCTGACTCGGCTGCTAGGTGGGCTTCTCTGGTGCTGGGAAGTTCTGTGAGGCTGGACTCAGTGCTTTCTCAGAATAAAGAACCCCGAAGAGCAGTCGATGAGGCTTTAGTTCTAATTTAATAGATCAGAAAGGAAGTATTTTTAAGAAAGCAAGTAATTCTGTAGAGAATTTTCTAGTTATTTCAAGTTTAATTTCAGGGTAAAACAACTATAATAGTGCTTTTTTGCTGTTATTTTTTCTTTATTTTAATGTTTTAATGGTGTTTTCAAAAAGGACTGAATTTGTCTTTTTTTTTTTTTTAAGTACTGGTGATTGAATTCAGGGTCTTCGTTTGCAGCAAGCCCCATCCCAGTTTCTTCTACCCCTCATATTTTGAGGCAGTTTCGCTAAGTTGTCTGGGCTGGACTTGAGTTGGGATCCTTCTGCCTCAGCTGCCAGTGCTGGGGTCACAGGTGTGTGTCCCCATACTCGGCTTACGTTTTCATCAGTTTTTAAAGGCATTGTGTTAGATTCCTATACAGGAAGACCGTACCTAGCTTTGAAGCCAGAAGCGAGAAGGTTTGGAGCTGCTTAGTTGCTCATTCTGGGAAGTTGAGATGCCCCTCCCCGTCCCCACCTCGCTGTGCTGCTGTCCTCTCTTCTCCGTGCTGGACCTCGCAGGTCTGCAGCTGCGAATTCTGGCCACTTTTCTCATCTACTGTTCTGCAGAAGTACCTGGTTTTACAGGTTTGGAATAGTTTCTCTTTCATCATTGCCAGAGCATCGAGAAAAGTTTAAGTCAGTTCCTTATGTGCCTGCAAGGAAGTAAATCAGGAAGAGCCACGCTTCCCAGCGGATTGCTGGCTCGAGTCCTTTTTCTTTTTTGGCGGAACCGGGGATTGAACTAAGATCCTTGCATTTGTCAGTCAAGCGCTTATCCTACTGAGCCATCTCCCCAGCCCCTCGAGTCCTTTTTCTTTTGTAGTCTCGGGGTGGAACCCGGGCCTTTGCACGAGCCTTCAGCCCTAGCTCCTCGTTTATTTTTTGTATTTGGTGCACGGTCTCAGTAAATGGCCAAGCTGCCCAGGTTGAACTGGTGATTCCCATGGGGTGTCACCACATCTGCTTACTGTTTTTTTTTCTCTTTCTTTTTTGCGGTACCAGGGATTGAACTCAGGACCTTGTGCTTGCCAGGCAGGTGCTTAAGTTGCTGAGTATATCCTTGGACCCTCTGGTTTCTTTCTTTTTTTTTTTGGCAGAACCAGGGATTGAACTCAGGCCCTTACACTTGCCAGGCAAGCGCCTGTTCTCCTGAGCCATCTCTTCGGCCCTCTGGTTTCATTTTGAGTGAGGCCTCCCGCCTGCGGGCTACCTGTGAGTTCCTGTGTCGAAGCGAGTGTTGCCTTGTGCTCAGGGCTTCCCCTGCCCTCACAGTGATGTTGGTACCTTATGTGGTAGCCATGTTATTTTGGCTTTTTCCCCCTTCAATCAAATGGAACGTTCTGCTGCCACGCTTTTTGGAGCTATTTATTTACTGTTCCTGAGTTCTGGTTTTCTGTCTGTCTCCTACCTTTGAATAAGTAAGCTAGTCCTCTGGACTTGCCTCAGCTGTGCAGTGACGGTTCCCACAGACCAGCAGGGGTGAGAAACCGAGTTGGAGTGTCCGTGTTTCCAGTGTTTGGGACCTGAGGGGCTGGCTCCTCACAGGGGGGCTGTGCTGTGCTGTGCTGTGCTCTGCGAGTTGGCTGTCCCAGTGTCAGTGTGCTCTGCCTGGTGAGTTGCAGAGCTCTGAAGGCTGCTGTCATGTGTCATACTCAGAGAATGGCTCCCAACAAGAAAAGGAGAGGACTGGCCACAGGCTAGGAGAAAATATTTGCAAAAGACATATCTGATATGGTACTGTTATCTAAAATGTACAGAGAAATCTTAAGTGAAACAGTAAGAAAACAGGAACAACCCAGTTGAAAAGTGGGCAGTAGGGCCAAGGTTGTAAGCGCCAGAGCCATGGCCTAGCGTGTGTGAGGCCCCGGGTTTGGTCCAGCACCAGAAAGGAGCAAAGGTCAGCAGTCCTAAGTAGACGCCTCCCAGAAGAGGTGCATAGATGGCAAGAAGTGCAGGAACTCCCACCCTCAGGAGGCTGAGGCAGGATGGTCTCACTGTAAGTGGGAGGCCAGCCTGAGCCACAAAACGAGGTCAGGGCCAGGCGAAGCTGCACCATGAAACCCTGTCTCAGAAAGGAAGGAAGGATCAATCCCAGGAACAAGTGTTCACTGTGACACTGTTACACTACTTATTAGGGAAGTATACACTAAAACCAGATGTCAGCCTGGTGCGGTGAGGCACACCTGTAATCCAGCTGTCAGGAAGCTGAGGCAGGATTATGAGTTCACCAGCCTGCACTGCAGAGTAAAGCCCTGTCTCCGAGAACCAAGCTCACGTTGTGTACCTAGCTGAACGCCCCTAAGTGAGGGTGCCAGCAGCTCCAGATGCTGGCAGGGCCGTGGTGCCCCGGGAGCTGTCCTCCTCGGCGGGAGTGTGAAAGGTACAGCCTGGCTGGGGGAGTCGGCCAGAGCTGGAGCATTCGAACCAGCAGTCCCACTCCTTGGTGTCCACACCAAACCCTGCACGTGGATGTTTAGAGCATCTTTATTCAGACTCACCCAGGCTTGGAAACCCCCAAACAGCCTTTTCTGTAGGAAGAGGCGGGTGTCTGGGGTGCACCTGGGTGGGAAGTATTATTCAACACTGAGAAGAGCCCTAAGCTGGGTTGGTGGTGTGCACCTGTAGGTCAGCTGCCTGGGGGCGAGGAAGGACAGTCATTGGAGCCCAGGAGTTAGAGACGAGCCTTGGCAGTGCGGTGAGATGCCCATCTGGAAAAGAAAAGAGCCGTCCATCAAGCTGTGGGACTCTTGGGGTTCACTTCGGTGCATGTTACAAAGTGAAAGTCAGTCTGAAAACGCTACATAGCTTGTGATTTCACTCTGCTCGTGAGTTCCTAGTACATGGATATTCTGGAAAGGAGAAGTGAGACACTGGGGAGGGAGTACAAAGATCAGCGGCTGCGCAGGACGGGCAGACAGTTTCGAGGACGACCAGGGCCCTGATGTGAGTGCAGAACAGTGGGGAGTGTCCCTTGCCTTGGTCACGCCCCCAGCGGGTGCCACACCCGGAGTGACCCTGTGTGAGTGCTGGGCTTGGTGCGCCTGTTGGTCAGACAGGCGCTGGGGCTGGGCAGTGGCTGGCCGCACAGCTCTCGCCCACCTGCTGCCCCACATTAAAACATGAGCCACACTGGACACCACGCATTTCCTGTCACACCTGGGGTCTCCGCGATCTGGCCTTTCACCAAGCAAATGCCCAAGGCCTGGACTGCGTCCTAGTGGACCCAGGAGATGAGCGCTTGGTCCCTTTCTGGGGCTGTGCTTGATCCTCCTGGTGCTCAGTGACTAATGCTGCCATTTGTCTAATGAGTTCTGTTTTGTTTCCAGGTATATGAGTGACTTAAAGCTGCCAGGGAAGACGGAGAGAGAGCAGTGCCGACTGGGAGCAGGGCAAGGATGCCAATCCCACCACCCCCGCCGCCCCCACCAGGCCCCCCGCCTCCTCCCACTCTTAATCAGGTGGGTGGTCCTTCCACTGCGCTCCACCAGGCCTCAGAAACAAGCCTGTTGGTGTCACACACCTGCTTTGTTTAAAATGTACAGGTTTTCCCACCCGTCCCATGTTCTTTAGTTGCAGGTTTTTAGTGCTTGGTGGCATGGGGGTGGAGAGATGGAGAACAAACCAGCCAGTCCCCCACCTCCTCCCAGTCTGAGCTCTCTCCTGGGCCTGCAGTGGGGCTGCGGTGTCCCTGTCCTGGTTTGTCCTGCACCATGCATGGATGTCCAGCCTTTCAGCTGGATAGTGACATACACAGACAGCACAGCTGGTGTGGAAGTCCTTTAGCTTTTATGTGCCTTAATGATCACGTCTCTAGTCTTGGTGAATTGTAATTAGAAGACTGTCTGAGACAAAATGTTTGATATATTTTCTTGCTTCCTTTACCACAGCTGCTAACAAGCAGTTTTAACTTACTATCTTATGAAGTAGCAACATGGGCAAGTTTAACAATTAGATAAAACTGGGCATGGCGGCACACACCCGTGATCCCAGCACTTGGGAGGCTGAGGGAGGAGGCTCATGCGAGGCGAGGCCAGCCTGGGCTGCATAGTGAGACCTTGTCTCAAAACAAAGACAAAAAAAAAATTAGAGAAGAAAATGGGCTAGGCATGTAGCACAGTGGCAGAGTGCCTGCCGGGCAAGCTTAAGGTCCTGAGTTTGAGTCCTGCACACAAAGAGAATTAACTGTGCCTGTGCTCAAGGACACACACGTGAGGAGAGGGAGGCTCTGTTTCCAGGACTGTCTACTCAGCTGTGTGGCAGGTGGGGTGGCGCAGCAGACAGAGCACTGTCTCTGTACCTCGTTCTGTTGTCGCCTACACAGACGCTTCCCAAGTACCATGCAGCCCAGGCATGGGAAATGCCGACAGAAAGGAGCAGATAAGAAGGAAAAGGAACAGCCTTGTGGGTCCTGTGGTCCCTGGGCTGTGGTCGGACTCTCCTGTCACCGATGGAGATGGGCAGGGCCTTGCAGTAGGGACCACGTTGCTCCCTGAAGTGTACTTGCTAAAGTCAGTGTGTCAGGGCCAGGGCGACAGCTCAGTAGAGTAAGTGCTTGCCTGGACTGGGGAGATGACTCAGTAGAATAAGAGCTTGCCTGGCAAGTGCAAGGGCCTGAGTTCAAGCCCCAGTACCGCCAAAAAAAAAAAAAAAAAGGTGCATCTAGAGTGCAGTCCTTCAGGGGGGCCTGCCCTTAGCTCAGTAGTTTAAGCAGCTGTTCATACAAAGGCAGTCAGGAGCAGGATACTGCGGTTCGATCCCCAGCTGGCCTTGCCCTTCAGGCAGCCTGAGCTGCCAAAAAAATCAGTCAATATGCAATTTCTCTGATCTTTAAGAAAAGGGATGGCGACCTCTGTAGGTGTTTCTTACTACCCTTTTATTCCTCTTTACTTCAGATCAGCTTGTTGTAAAGCCGAGCCCATGTTTTATACCCTAGCAAGAAAAACAAGACGTGTGGGGAGAGGGGCCTGGGGCGCGGGCCCCAGCAGGAGCCGAGCAAGCTCCAACCCAGCTGTGAAACAGCAGTTCAGCAAGGCCTGGTGTCAATAAGAGAGGGCTGGGGCTGTAGCTCAGTGGAAGGCCCTGGGTTCAGCCCCAGTGTCGCACACGGAGGCAGAGAGGCAGGCAGGCAGGCGTGGGGGGCTATTGGTAAGAAGTGGAGTTCAGCGATGGAGGAAAAGCCCAGAGGAGGCAGCTGCGCCGCAGCTGGGTTGTGAGCCCCGGGGTCACAGTTAAAGGCATCTCTGCCTTCTCATTTGTGTGCCATCTTGAAGTGAGAGGCACTGGAGAACGGCGGCCCACAGGCCGGTTGCTGGATGAGGTGGGAGGGCGGCTGCCTGCTGAGGTTTTCCTGAAGCCTCTGGGTTCAGGCTCGCCATGTGCCTGTGGACATGGATGCACGGGAGCGCCCTTGTGGGAAAAGGGTTGTTTGTTTTTGCAGTACTGGGGATCAAAATTGGGCCCTTGTGCTTGCTAGGCAGGTGTTTATGCCGCTAAGCTAGATCCCCAACCCTTGGGGAAGGGTTTGTGCAGAAATCCAGTAATGGGGGCGGTAAAAGGAGGACCACAGTGCCTGGGCGAGCAGGTCCCCAGGAAGCTCTGCCTGGGGAGGGGAGGTACCAGGGGGCTTCTTATCATTGCTCCCTCATACTGCATGGTGGAGCAAAGCTGCAGGTCCAGGCTGAGGCTGGAGTTTTCTGGTGGTGGTGGGAACTGCTGACTGCAGCAGGAGGAGCCTCTTAGCTTCGTAGCAGAAAGGTCACCCAGCAGCGTGGACAGCAGGGTGGGCACAGCAGTTTGAGATGGACACAGAGACTGTGGCTGTGGAGGGTCAGGGTCTGCAGAGCGGAGATCAGAAATCTCAGAGCCCAGCACCAGGCACAGCAGAACGTGCCGGTAATGCCAGGACTCCGGGGGAAATTGAAAAACAATGTAGTTCTGTGCAAGGGCCCTGGGCTCGCCCCGCTACTGCAGACACATCCAGCAAAGACAGCTTGCGATGGGGTGAGGGAACGAGGTGCAAGGGTTCTGCCGGGCTTTGGGTGAGTGATGGCGCAGTCCCTGAGCGAGCGGTCTTAGGGAGGGGAATGAAGCTCACGCTTTGGCACGCTTAATAGTAGTAATAACTTTCTTTTTACAAAATCAGAATGTTCAAAAAGTTTAGAAACTGGGTAAGCAGAAAGCAACAGTCACCTGTCCCCTCCGCAGCAACTGAGTCCTCCTTCCTGAGGTGCTGCTGGCACTGCCCAGTGAGGGCTGAGCCGCTTCTCAGCCTGTCAGGCGGCAGGCAGGGTGAGGGGCGCTAAATGCTCAGGACTGGGGTTTTTTTGTTTGTTTATTTGGTTTGGTTTTAACAAGTAGCGTGTGTGTGTGTGTGTGTGTGTGTGTGTTGGTCTTAAGAGGGTCTCACTGTGTTTGTAGTTCAGGCTGGCCTTGAACTCAACGTCAGGCCCCTGCCTCAGCCTCTCAAGTGCTGGGGTTACAGCCATGCACCATCACACCCAGCTAAGAGTAATATTTTACAAATTTCTCTGTACTATAAATGTTTGTAAAAAGTTATACAATACCGATTTAAAACAAAGTGGACCGGTGAGATAACTCAGAATAAGCATTTACCTGGCAAGTGCAAGGGCCTGAGTTCAATCCCTGATTCCACAAAAAAAAAAAAAAAAAAAATATTAAAGCATAAATTTGTTAACACTGTAATACTGTTTTACATTATTATAAGCAAATTAGAGAATAAATATATATTAATATTTAGTATATTTTGTTTATTTTTTGACTTTCTATATACTTTACTTATTTTAATCTTCAGTATATTTTAGAGTATGGGTTTATCCTTCCAGGAATTTTTCACATGCCTCCTTTTTTCCTTGTAAATTATATATTGTTTATCTGTTTATTTTGGAAGTAGGGATTAAAGGGCCTCAGAGCCTCTGCACTGAGCTGCAGCTCCAGTCTTCTCTGTTCATAGACTGATTCATTCATTCTTTTGCTTACGAATGAATGATGAGACCTCGCCGTGCCGCCAGGCACACTGAGCTTGAGTCATCCGTCTCCCTCTTCCTCTTCTTCCAGGCAAATACAGAGCAGCCCAAGCTGAGCAGAGATGAGCAGCGAGGCCGCAATGCGCTCTTGCAGGACATTTGCAAAGGGACCAAGCTGAAGAAGGTGACCAACGTTAACGACCGGAGTGCTCCTATCTTGGAAAGTAAGTCCCTGCTTCCTGCCTGGTGAGCCCAGGACCCCCAGCTGACTGGAGCCCTGGCGCAGCTGCCAGCCTGTTCTTGCTATCCAAGGGGTTCTGTTGGGCGGTGGGCCGCATCCTCTGGCCTCTTCCCCCCTGCTCACTTAAGCAGCTGAGAAGCTTCTCCCACCTCGCCTCCTGCCGCGCTGGTGAGTGTTGGGGCGCATCGCCCCGGTTGCTCTCCAGGAGACACATTCCTGAGGAGCCGTCTCTTTGCAGAGGCCAGGGCTGGCTGACAGTTGCTGCTATCATTCATCATCCCTGCCCTGTCATTAGCCCTCAGGACCCAGGGGAGGCCCTGCGAGCACCAGCACAGGAAAGATGGGCTCTCTGGTCCCTTTGCTCTTTCTCTCATTACAGAAGGGCTTGTCTGGGGAAAGGCAGAGTAGCTGGGTTTGCTATAAGGTGCAGCCCAGGTACAGGCGGGTGGCAGGACTTCTCAGGACTGACTTGGTCCCCGTGCAGAACTGTGATGTGGAAACCCACGCTGTGCTTTGCAGAGCCCAAAGGTGGTGGTGGCGGCGGTGGCGGCTATGGCGCAGGCGCAGCTGCTCTGCAGCCCAAGTGCGGTCTCTTCCCAGGAGGGGTCCCAAAGCTGCGGCCTGTGGGAGCCAAGGACAGCTCAGGTATGTCCCACCACGGTGGGGTGGACGGAGACAGAGTGGATTAGAGCAGAGGCTGAGGGAAGGAGTAGCAGCGCCTTTGACTGCGTAGGAGTACGAGGCATGCTCACCAAGGGCGGTGCTCATGTGGCCGGCAGCCGCCTCGAGGCAGCAGTGAGACCAGGCCTGTGGGCACAGCCAGGGCAGCACGCAGAGCACGCTAAGGCTGTGCCCTTTGACCTCACTCCCGTGTCCGACCCAAGGCCTGTGGCTCAGCAGCAGCAAGCAGAGTGGTGGCACCAGGCTGGCAGGAGGTGTTGGGCACAAAGTGGCCTCGGGTATAAGGGGGAATGAGGTTGGCGAGCTGTGTGCAGTGTGACTGCTGTTGGTAGGGTTCCAGCTTCTGCAAGAATAGATTTTTAAATGTCATTAAAAATAAGGTGTCAGGTGACGAATGTGTGCATTAGCTCAGTTTAGTCATCCTACAGCGTAGACATGATACCCTGTAGATACGTACAACTACTTAAACGTTAAGCCACATTTTAAAAGTACATTCAGCTTATAGGTAATATTTGTGACTGGGCCCTGGAACCCAGAACTAGGTCCCAGGGTATGACTTAGTGGGTGACAAGTGCTTGGTGAGCTGTGGCTGGGGTTCGACTTCCCTTTGGACACAGGCAGATAAAAGTTGAACTGGGAGGGCCTCGGGCCTGTTGCACGCTGACCCTGTTGTCCACTGTGTCGTAGAAAACCTGGCCGGGAAACCAGCCCTGCATACCCCCGGGTCTCGAGCCGCTGCCCCAAGGCCACCAGTGTCTGCAGCCAGCGGGCGTCCTCAGGACGACACGGACAGCGGCCGAGCCTCCCTCCCTGAGCTGCCCCGGACGCAGCGCCCCTCACTCCCCGACCTCTCACGGCCCAATGCCACCAGTGGCCCGGGCATGAAGCACAGTTCCTCAGCGCCCCCACCTCCGCCCCCCGGCCGGCGTGCCAACGCACCCCCTGCGCCCTTGCCTACACCTGGCAGCAAGGCCCCAGCCTACAACCGCGAGAAGCCCCTGCCACCCACCCCAGGACAGAGGCTGCACCCCGGGCGTGAGGGGCCGCCCGCACCACCCCCAGTCAAGCCACCACCTTCCCCTGTAAACCTCAGAGTGGGACCAAGTGGTCAGTCACTAGCTCCTCCACCACCGCCTTATCGCCAGCCTCCCGGCGTCCCCAATGGGCCCTCCAGTCCCACGCACGAGTCAGCCCCCGAGCTGCCACAGAGACACAACTCTTTGCATAGGAAGACACCGGGGCCTGTGCGGGGCCTCGCTCCTCCTCCACCTGCCTCGGCCTCCCCCTCTCTACCCAGCAGTCGGCCCCCTCCTCCGGCCCGGGAGCCTCCCAGTAGGGGAACAGGTAAGTGCTGGGGACTCTGCTTCCAGTGGGGTTGTCTTCTGGTGTCCCCAGGAGGAGCACTGAGCCTTTTTTTACACAGTTGCCTCTGCAATGAGGGAAGCTGCGGTAGTGGACATGTCACATGGTTCTTTTGGGCCAACTTGTATGACACATAACGTCTCACACATGGTGTGCTTCAGAGAAACCCAGTGCAGCTTTGGGGATGGCCAGGGCATGGAACAGTGATGCCCTAACCAGTGTGGTGGTGACACCTGGAGCTGGGGGAGGCTGTGTGAATGGGGCCCTGAGGAGACAGTGAGCATCTGCTCTGCTCTTGCCAGGCAGTAGGGACCACAGCTGCCAGGGCCCTGCGGGCGACAGTGGAGGTCACTAGCAGGACAACAGAGAATGTGGGGGGGATGGAAAGTACGGAGGGGAGGCAGCGAGGTAAGGTGTGCCTTGCTCGGACTTCGAGCTCCCTGGGCCTGGCAGTGCGGGCCTGTAACCTCAGCATGTTGGGAGGTGAGACAGGAGAACGGCGCCTGTGAGCTCAGCCTGGGCAGCGCAGTGGGATCCTGTCTCGCGATACCAAAACGGGGTTGAGGACATAGCTCAGTGGAAAGCAGGGTTCCAGCCCTAGTACCGTGATTCAGAAACAAGCGGCGAAACCTGCTCTGAGCTCCGAGATGGGAAACCATTGCAGTGGGGCCTTGGAACAGAACAGGACCCGATGCACCCTTCACAAGGACCCTAGCTCCCATTTGGCCGCGGAGCAGGAGGGTGGTGAAAGGAGTGGCTCAGAAGGCAGGTGGGGAGCGAGCGTGTCACATGCGGGAAGCTTCCCTCTAGTGTGGGGCAGCCTGGCACCTGCCTGTAGGAGCGAGCAGCCTCGTGGGCTGGAGCAGTCAAGGAGGCCTCCAGAGCTGCGCTCCATCACCCTGAGGGACCACGGCTGGGAGAGCGTGGGCGGGGGGTGTGAGCGCCTGGCAAGGACAGCCTGGAGCCCCTGCGGAGGGCAAGAGGGAAAGCTGGGAGCAGTGGAGAAACCCACGCCTGTGCCCAGGGCCGAGCAGGGCCAGGGAGCCGGACCCAAGAACTGAGTGTCAAGGGACCTTCGGGCAGGTCCAGCTACCCAGGAGGCAGAGGGTGGAGGAGGATTTGAGGCCAACCTGGGCAAAGCATTGACTCCTGCCTCTAAAACAGGTGCGGGGGCGGGGGGCGCGGGGAGATGGCTCAGTGGAATAAGCACTTCCCTGGCAAGCGCAAGGGCCTGAGTTCAATACCCAGTTCCACAAAAAAAAAAAAAAAGAAAGAAAGAAAGAAAGAAAGCAAATCTTTATTGTCCTACTAATTTGGTTTGAAACTTTCTCATTGCTGTTTGTTTCTCAATAAAATTATGGAAAAAAAATAAAACAGGTGGTGTAGGGTAGGGTGGCTATGGTGACACATGCCTATAATCCCACCCAGCACCTGGGAGGCTGAGGCAGGAGGATCACAAATTGGAACCTAGCCTGCAAAACTGCAATTTAGCAAAACTGTCTCAAGATACAATTTCAGGGCCAGCGAGCTAGCTCAGTGGACTAAAGCGCCTGCTTAGGCAAGCGCAGGGACCGCAGTTCGATCCCTGGCACCACATGCCTCCCACCCCCCTACCCCCCGTGAGCTGAGCTGAGCAGAGAGCTGTGGTGCACGCAGGGACCTGTAATCCCAGCGCTGGGGAGGCTGAAAGCAGGAAGATCACCACGAATCCGAGCTGTGTAGTGGGACCCTGCAACAACCAAATACATTAAAAAAAAAAAAAGATAAAAATTCAGAAGGGCTGTGGATGTAGCTTGTTGTGAAGCCCTTGTTTTTCATTTTCCTTTTCTGAATAAAATCAAAGAATGTAGGAATTGGAGGTAGCAGGGTAGGCATTTGAGTTGTGTAAAGGCCAGAGTACATGTGCGTGCGCGGATAAGTGACACCTGCCGGAGGAGGCTGCAGGTTCAGGGTTTCCACCCAGGATGGGGGCCTGTTGGGGCGGTGACAGGGTCTGCACAGGTAGGCCTGGGGGGCCTGGCAGGGGCAGCTTTCTAACTTGTTTGTTCTGTCTGTGAGATGGAAGCGAGAGTATCGGTTGTAGTGCGGAGAGGCCATCGGGAAGTGCAGGGGGCTGGTGTGCTGGTCCAAAGGCCCGACGAGAGGGCAGGCCTGGGCGTCAGAGGGGCAGGCAGTGCAGAGGACGTCCAGCCCTGTGGTACCTGCTGCTGTCGTGTGGGCCTGAAGCCCGAGCGGGGAGAAGGGGTCTTCGTCCCTTCTGTGTCTCTGGCTGGGGCACAGTACTTGACACCTCCGTGGTGGAGGAGGAGAGGCGCATTTGATGGTGGTTCAGTCCATAGTGGGCTGTAAGGCAGGGAGCCTAGTGGGCAGAATAGAAGCAAGGGACAGAGGGGGGCGGACCCTCCAGGCCCAGCCCCCACCCTGCCCCTCTGGTGCCTCCAACCCTCCTACCTCAGCACACACACTGGCTGGGCCCCAGCTGTGGCCTGTGGCTGAGGGAGGCTGGGGGACATTAGATATAAACTACCACAGAGGGGGTGGAGGAGTCCTAGGGGAAAGAGAGCCCACATGGTAGTGCACACCTGTGTTCCTGGCACCCTGGGAGGTTGAGGCAGGATGGCAGGTTTGAGCCCAGCCTGGGCCACATAGTGACTTGTTGGTGCTCTGTCTTGGGTGGGGAGGGACTGGGATTTGGCTCAGTGGTAGAACGCTTGCCTGTCAAGCTGGAAGCTGTGAGTTCAGTCCTTCACACCAAAAATAAAAAATAAGGGGGCCTGGCCCTAGCTCAGTCCTTTAAGTGGCTGCTTCCACAAAGCTGTCAGCCTCAGGTTGCTGGAGTTCGATCCCCACAACACTCTAGCTAGCCAAACCTGCCCTGAAGGCATTCAGAGCAAAAAAAAGAAAAAGTCCTTATGAGCCGGGGAGATGGCTCAGTGGAATAAGCGCTTCCCTGGCAAACGTAAGGGCCTGAGTTCAATGCCATGTTCCGCCAAAAAAGAAAAGAAAAAAAATAAACCTTCCCTAAAAAATAATTCAACTAAAAAACACAGTAAAATCAAGGACGGGGAGAGTGAAACTGTTGATGTGATCTTTATTTTTACTTTATTTTTGTCAGCACTGGTGATTGAACCCAGGGCCTTTGCGCTGAGCTACACCCCAGCCCATGTATTTATTTGTTATATATGAATGAATGGGTGAAAGAAGGGGACCCAGTCTCCCTAAATTGCAGAAGCTGGGCTAGAATTTGGGATCTTCCTGCCTCAGTCTCCCAGAGTGCTAGGATTATGGGCATGTGCCACCATTTCTAGTTTTTTGTGATCACTTAACCAATAGCATGGCTGAAGTTCTGTGAGTACAGGTGACAGTGTCTGCTTTGGGGCCTAGTTGGACCCATAAGCTTTGGCTCCCCAGAGATTGTGGTGGACCTTGGGCTGCACTCTTCTGAGTGGTTTTCGAGCTGTTGTTTCAGAGTCAAGTCTCCACCGCTGTGGATCCTGACCAGGAAGTGGCGTCACAAGGCATGTTACCTTCGTGGGCGACTGGGGCAGGATCACTTGAGCTAGGAACTGGAGACCAGGCTGAGCAGCATCACAAGAGCCCATCTCACAGTAAAAGAGGAGTCTTCCAGGAGTACTCATGAAAAGCCGGGCAGTGACATGCCTGGGATCTCAGCTGCTCCAGAGGCTGTGGCTGCTGGATTGCATGTTCCAGGCCACCCTGGGCTCAGTCCTCACTCCCGGAAGCAGAGTCCTTAGCCCGCACTGCTGCTGGGGCAGCTGCATATAGGGCTGTACCTCGGATTGGAGGCCAGTGAAGCACCATTAGGCTGTAGCCTGGGGCACTCCTGCCCAGTGGGAGACACGGTCAGGCTATGGTGGCCCTTCAGTTCCCCTCAGTCGAAGATAAGTGGGTTTTGTTTAAACATAGGCTGTTTAAATAATGCCTGGTCTGAGTGAAGCGCTTCTTTCTGACTTCATCTAGGAAGCAGGCAGAGGGAAGCACAGCGTGTGCTGGTCACTGAGCAGTCGCAGATGTCCGCAGGCCGCCTCTTTCTTGTCTCGCTCCTTCCTCTGTAATTGTCTTGGAAGGCTGGAAGTGTCGGCTGTGCTCCTTCTGCAGGAGCCGTCACCATGACACGCGCTTGGACGGAGCCTCGGCTGGCTTGCTATGGCAGTACTCGGAGCAGCGGCTCCTGAGAGGGGCCCGCTAGGGCTTGGGGCTGTGCTGCATACTTAGCTCCCAAGTCTTGGGGGCGGAGGTAGGAGGGCCTCATGTCAGAGCCCGGTTGGCCCATTGAGTGACTTGGGAAGATACAAAAGGGCTGGAGTGTAGCTCAGTGGAGAGCTCCTGTGTTCAGTCCCTACTATCATCAAAAGAAAATGGCATGATACACTAAGGGAAAGAGAAATGTTTGTGTATGTTTCTTCCTCAAAACTAAGAGGGTTAGCAGGGGGTGGTGGTGCATGCCTGTAATTCCAGCCTTGGGGAGGCTGAGGCAAGAGAGTCCTTGTGAGTTCCGAGACCAGCCTGGGCTACAAAGTGAGCTCAAGGCCAGCCCTACATACATAGTGAGACCCTGTCTCAAAAAGAAAAATGCTGGGGATGTAGTTTAGGGCCAAGGCTCAGGGTGTAATCCCCAGCACTACCATAAATAAAGCTGTGTCTCTCACAGTGTGGTGTCACACACCTGCCACCCTGGCACTCAGGAGGCTGGAGCAGGAGGATAATGAGTTTGGGGCCATCCTGGGCCACATAGTGAGATTCTGTCCCAAAAAATTATGCTGCAGCCCCCAACAAGAAAACTGGGTCTGGGGCTAGGGATATAACTCAAGACAAGTGCCAAAGCAGGGCACTTGTGGTGGAGCACGCCTGCAGTCCCAGCCCTGGGAGGCTGAGGCAGGAGTATCATGGGAGTTTGGAGATCAGCCTGGGCTACAAAGTGAGCTCAAGGCCAGCCTGAACTGCAGATCGGGACCTTGTCTCAAAAAAGACAAAGAGAATGAGGCGGGGGGGTGGGGGTGTGAGGCCCTAGTTCACTTCAAGCCCCACTAGGTCGTCTGCATTCTCCCTGACACGGAGGATCCTGGAGGCACGGCCCACAGATCCCTGGCCTGACTCTGCGAGGCCCTGGGTCCATAGCTCTTTGCAGAGTAGACCATGCTCAGAACAGTCCTGCCCAGGGCAGGCTGTAGGAGACAGATAGGTGGCCCTTGTCCTGCTGTCACCTCCTCCATCCAGCTGCTCAGCACAGCCAGCCCTATGCCTGGCACCCCAAGCTGTCCTCAGGGTAGAGGTGTGTACATTTCAGGGACTTGAGAAAGCCACGATGGGCAGATTTAGGGTGAAAGGCCAGAGACCTACCAGGAGGTCTTCAAGAGGTTGCTCCCTGATTCTTCTGCCCAGGTACCCGTGTGCACTTAGAGGAAAGCTGGCCAGGGGGAGGGAGTGGTGACACCCTGGTCTGCTGTAGGGAGCATTTATCTCATCTGCTGTGCTTGACTCTGCCTGCATGTTGGCACGCACACGTCACGCCGTTACTATGTTACGTGCTACAGAAGTTCTGACAGGTAGCAGGAGGCAGTCTGGAGACAGAGCTTAGAAGTACCCTTTTTCTTAGAGAGGTCTTGCTGTGCCTTTCCGGCTGACCCTGAGTTCCTTGCGGTCCTCCTGTCTCAACCTCAGGTGCTGGCGTTGCCCCAGTGCGCCCCACACTCTGTTGAGAACACTTTTATGCCTAGAACAGTGTTGTCTGCTAAGCTGAGGAGCCCTTGCAGGTGCTGTGTAGGTGACAGCTACTTATCGAGTGTGCTCTGTACAAAGTGGCAGGCTTCCAAGTCACTGGGCTGCGGATGTGGGTGGGGAGCCGAAGCGCATGATGGCTGTCAGTGTTGGGGAGGGCAGAGGCCACACCTGTGTGCCCAGTCTGTTTTTATCAGGTCTGTGACCTTAGTCACATAGCCTGAGTTCCAGCAGGCATAGCACCACATACCTTGGGTGGGTGTGGTGGCACACACCTGTCACCCTGGCATACACCTGGGAGACAGGAAAGGAAAATTGCAGGTAGTCTGAGGCCACTCTGGGCTACTTAGCAGACCCTGTCTTAAAAAAACCAAAAGAAAAAAGCCCTTATGCTTTGTGGGGCTAGCTGTAAGAGCTTTGAAAGACGTAACCCACAGTGGGATGCCTGGGTTACGGTCTGTCCACGGCAAATGGGCGCTGCTGCCAAGGAGAATGAAGACTTGAGCAGGGGAGCGGCAGGTCCTAAGGCGCGGTGGGCATTGCCTAGAAGGGGGTTCTTGTCTGTGAAGGGTGAGTTGGGTTTTTGAAAAGATTCAGAAAGCAGAGACAAGAGATAGAAGCGTTTCTGTTGGTGGTGCGGCAGCCCTAGAAGTAAGATGTGGTTTTCAGGCAGTGCTATTCCTAGTGCCAAGTGACAGACTGGCTTCAGCGAGGCTGTCACCCCATGTATAATACATCCCCAGCAAATATACTGTACTATTTTGAAAATCGCTCATTTCAGTCTTCTGTTGCTGGCCAGCCTAAGTGACAATATCTGCTGTGGGGGAGCCAGCGGGTCGGTCGGAAGGGAGCGGGTAGCTTTAGGGACACCCTGAAAGTGGGCTTGAATGACTGTGAGGGTAGGTCTGGGGGCGGGGGAGTGGAGGCAGGAGCCAGGCCTGTGGGGCGCTCATGAATTAGTCCAGGGAGGAGTTCCAGGCAGGTTTGAATCTGGGCCTAGGGTGTGCCCACTGACAGACGGTGTGGACACCACTGCAGCGGCTGAGCCAGCCCAGAGAGAGAGGAGGGGACAGGGGAATGAAGCCTGGGGCAGAGGAAGGGCGCCCCTGGGAAGACCCCAGCAGCGTGTAAGGGACCAGGAAGGGAGAGTGTGGAGGCGGGGGTGGAGTGGAGCTTAGGGCACTGCGGAGCCTGCGAACGAGAAGGTCTGAATCAGAATTGTGCAGGGAGGGAAGGCAGCAAGAATAGATGGGACCAGGGTGGTGCCTGCCTCTACGGCCCCACTTTGGGCTGCTGAGGCAGGAGGATGGAAGAGGCAGCCTGAGCAATTTAGGGGGCCTGCCAGTTAGCTCAGTTGTTAGGCGCCTGCTCATGCAGATGCAGTCAGGCGCAGGGTACCAAGGTTTGAACCCCACCTCCACCTGCCTTACCAGATCTGCCCTTAAGGCAGCTGAGCCAGCCCCCCCCCCAAAAAAAAAGAAAAAACACCTCAACTTAAAAATACAATAAAAATAAAATATTTGCTTGTCTAGCGCATTCAGGGCCCAAGAGTTGAGTCTTACCACCACCACCCCCTTATTTGCAGGGGTGTGTGTGAGAGTTATTGAGGATCAAACCTAAAACCTCTGCACTGAGCGGCCTCCCTGCCCTCCCCGACCCCTATTACAATACCTTGAGGCACTGTCTCACCATGATGTCCAGGAGAGGCTGAAGACTGCAGCCTCCTGCTTCAGCCTCCCGGAGCCTAGGATCAGGGCGTGTGCGCCTCCACTCCCAGCTAAGGGTAGGGTTCTTGCCAAGTTGAACAGAATAGGTTGCACATTTATCCTCAGGTGGCTATCTGGAAACCTGTACCCAATGAAGGTGACTGAGCAGGTGAATTGTGACCAGAGGCCCGCAAGCGCGCTGACCTCAGGGGAGGCACCTGCCGCTCATGGCCTCTCTGCCGAGCCCAAGCCCACAGCGCTTTACTTTCTCTGCAGCCCCACCACCCCCGCCGCCCACGATCCGAAATGGTGCCCGGGATGCGCCGCCCCCACCCCCGCCCTACCGTACACACGGAGCAGAGCCCCCCAGTCGGGGGAAGCCCCCGCCCCCACCCTCCCGCACACCAGCCGGGCCACCGCCGCCTCCGCCGCCACCCCTTCGGAACGGGCACCGAGACTCCATCACCACGGTCCGCTCCTTCTTGGGTGAGTACTGTCCTGGGGAGTGGGGTGGGGGCTGTCATGAGACGTGCCAGTCTGTTGACATTGCAGCCCTTAGGGGGCGTTTAGACTTCCTGGCCTGGGATGGGCTGGAGCCATGGCAAGTGTGCTAGCGCTAAGCTCCGCACAGGCTCCGGAGGCTCTGTGTTAATCTTGCACCCGAGACTGCATGCTCCTCAGCATCTTTCAGATCGTTCCCTTTCCTGGGAGCAGAATCCTTTCTGGCTCTTTAAAAACTAAACAAGCTAAAAAAAAGGGGGGGGGCAGGAAGATAGCTCAGTAGGATAAGCACTTACCTAGCAAGCGCAAGGGTCTGAGTGCAATCCCCGGTTCTGCCAAAAAAAAAAAAAAAAACTAAACAAGCTTAGGATGCCAAGGCCCTGCATTAGGTCCCCCAACACTAAAAGGATTAGACATCATCATCATAAACTAAGGCCACTGGTCTGGGGTCTAGCTCCATGGCACAGTGCCTGCTTGGCATGTGGGTGGCTCTGAGTTAGATTCCCTGTACTGAAAAAGCCAAACGCAACTAAAGCCACTACACAGTGGCTCCCTTGCTGTGTTACATGGAGGAACTTGCTTCATTCCTCTTCCCTTGTCTGTAAAACAAGGAATTGACCAGATCAGGAGCCTGTCCCGTCATGAACTTTGGCGTAAATCTTGGGGCCCCAGCAAGAGACTCTGTACCTTCTAGGATGGACCGGAAGTGAAGGCTGCCCAGAGTGTGCAGACCCTGTTGGGCACCTTTGGATGCTTAGGTGGCTGCCCTGCAGTCCTCCTCTTTTTTTTTTTTTTTTTTGCCGTACTGGGGATTGAACTCAGGACCCTGAGCTTGCCAGGCAAGCGCTTATTCTACAGTGCTATCTCTCCGGCCCTCCTTGTTCATTCTGAAGGATTTTTTTTTGGGGGGGGGCAGTACTGCCTCAGGATGCCTTAAGGGCAGGTCTTGTAAGGCTTGAGGATCTGGGGACGGAACCACAGAACCCTGAGCCTGATTGCCTTTGCTTAAGCAGGCACTTAAACAACTGAGCTCATAGGCAGGCCCCTCCTTGTTCATTCTGTGCTGTGGGCTCCATCCATGTCATACAGACCTTAGCCTTGTGAGCAGCCTCACCCATAAGAACTTGTGGCTTCGTGGGCAGGAGCCATAGGGCGGGAGCAGGACCAGAAAAGCTGCTCAGCTGTGCTGCAGAGATCGAGAAGAGCAGCCCAGCTAAAAGGTCAGGTTACACTGTCCTGTCACATCTGTCTCAGGCAGTAGCAAATGCTCCTGTTGGAGATTAAGTTCTCCGGTGTGGTTCCGTTAGTTCCCTTTAAGGGTGATCTCTACGATGACCATGTGCTTGAATCAGAACTGTAGTGCTTTCTTCTTCTGCGCAAACACATGCCCTAGGGGCCGGGGAGCTGGCTCAGTGGAATAAGTGCTTCCCTGGCAAGCGCAAAGGCTTGAGTTCAATCCCCAGTTCCGCAAAGAAAAAAGCAACACATGCCCTCTTCCTGGTACATGCCTGGTTCCTGGTGGACCGCGAAAGCAGCAGCAGCTCCCACCCCGGGACCTTGGGGCCCTCGGCTCAAGGACGGTGCATCAGGCTGTGCCCCGCTCAGCAGGGGGCCAGCATGGAGTCACCAGCGGTGACGAGACCTAACGCTCTGCTCTCTTCACAGATGACTTTGAGTCCAAGTATTCCTTCCATCCTGTAGAAGACTTTCCAGCTCCAGAAGAATATAAGCATTTTCAGAGAATATATCCCAGCAAAACACACCGAGGTGAGGCAGGAATAAAGAAGCATTTCCTGTACTTGCATGTGACATAGAGCTGCACATTTTTTTTAGGTCAATTCTACTCTTCATTTTCATTAAAGAACAACACAAACCTTAGTCCCAAGACTTCACGAAGATGAAGATCAGAGTGTGATGTGTGTGTGTGTGTGTGTGTGTGTGTCCTCAGAGCTGCTGTGACGTGTGTGTGGCTCCTCAGGGTTGCTGACATGAGTGTGGTTTCTTCCAGCTGCCCGCGGAGCCCCCCCTCTGCCGCCCGTTCTCAGGTGAAGCCTGGCTGGTCCTGGTCGGCAGGAAAGGACAGACTTACTCTCCTCAGAGGGCCCCACCCACATCCTGCATGAGCGCTCCGCCTGCCTCCAGCATCCTCCGGCTCGCCTCCATCTCTGCGTCTGTCCTGGACTTGGGACAGCTCTGAGCAGCAGAGGGCTCTCGCCCACCTCCCTCCTACAGCCAGTTCCGCGCAAGAGCAGCGACCAGTTTTCCGGGGGAGGGGAAAGCTGGATGGACTTGGCAGTGGGGAGCAGGGGGTTGTACTGCCGGCTGTCACCGCTTTGGGGCTGCTACTGGCAGGAGGCTCCGCGGCCCGGACTTCTGTGGCAAGGCAGTGTCTGCAGGAAAACGAGGGAGTGCTCTGGAGTAGTGATCTGTTTTAAAGGTCAGGTTTGGAGAAAGGACAGAAGAAGCCTGCTTTATTTCCAGGTGTTTTGTTGTGTTCTCACCTGCCAGTCCCAGGGCCAAGGTCGCTGTGAGCACTAAGTACTAACCATCGACTCAATATTTAAGGAGGAACTGGGATTAGCCTGAGGATGCGGAGATTCGCAGCCCAGACCAGGATGCCCTGCCTCCTGTCCTCGGGCTGCTTGGCTGAAGGTGTGCTCTCTCACCCCAGCCCCTCAACAGAAGAGTTCCTCCTTCTGGGGGACTTGAGTCCTTTCTGTCACAAGCCCCCAAAACCTCTGGTGGGAGCTTGGAAGTGAGGGCCTCCACCTCTGCCCTGGTTTCTTCTGCTGGCCATGCTGCAGTGAGAGGCCCTTTGCATCCTGCTCAGCCCCTGGAGAGCAGGAACAGAAGGGTGAGGACCTGGAGGGCAGCGGAGGATGTTGGGCCCTGCTCCTTGGGAAACTCCCAGCACCATCGGCTGCCTCGTGCAGGCTCCCTTCTGCACCGCCCTCCCCTTCCTGGCCTGCCCGCGGGGTGGGTCAGTGGTGTAGGGTGGGTGCGTGGGGAAGGAGGAGGAGGTGGTAGGCCTTTGGGGTCAGGCAGGGTTTCTCCTTGCAGGAAGCATAGACTTGAAGTGTGTCCAGCCTGGTGGTCTGCCCTAGCAGCCAGCAGCATGCTGTCTTCCAGGCCTAGTCCCAGAGCACAAGGAGAACAAGCAGAGGCCTGGCTGGGGGCTGGGGCAGTGGCTTCACCTCCTCCGCTGCCAGCACGGGCTCCTGGCTCCACACTAGCGGGTCGGTTTGGAGAGGCCGCCTGTGGGAACTGGCATGGGAGCAGGAAGCCTAAGCTGGCCTTGTTCCTTGAGCTGTCAGCAGACGTCTCAGGCTTGCACTGCCCTGGGGGCCTTTCTGTTCAGCTGCACCTCAGGCTGAGGGTCCAGGCTGGCTTTGCCCAGTGCCAGGCGCGGGAGAGCTTGGGTCCTGTGTTCCGAGTGGTGTCCCTTGCCCTCCCCTGGGCCCCACTGACTGGGGCACAGACCAGGATAAGATCTGTCACCAGATGTGTTCTAACCATTCTTTGTTTACCACTGTTGTCTTCTAACCTGTTAGCAGTCACCTCCCCAGTCTCCCTGGCGTCCTGAAGCGAGGAGAGCTGAGAGGGAGGGCGGGAGCTGCCACTGCAGTGAGGCCCGGGCTGGAGGCTGACGGTGGAGAGCTTTGACTGTGAAGTTTCCCATTCATTTTTGAAATGGGAGTCGATGCCTTTTGTACAATGTTCTCAAAGCGTGTCTTCCCCCCCCCCCTTATTCAAAGCATCAAAGTAAGCATCACAAATAAAGCCAAACCCCAGCTTTTCCTTGGGGCTGCTATCTTCCTCCTTGTGACCTGCCGGTCCTCGGGTCCCCAGCATTGTGTTTTGTCACTTAGGTAGGGACTGTATTTTCACTGCTTGGCTCTGGGTCTGATGGAGTGGCTCTCCCTCAGAGCACGCCAGTGACGCAGCGCTATTGAGCTAGCTTTGCCTTACACACTGTTTGGTCCCGCTGTTAATAACAGATTTATTATCGTGTATATTTGCTATTGAAGATGGGCGCATGACCTGCATAGTTGCCGGTCTATTTTGTATGTTCTACAGAGCTTGTACATTCTATAGGTTTCAGAAGGGCACTAACCTTCTCACCTTTCCCAGTGCTCCTGGGTCTGTGGGGGGAATGGCCTCTCTGGAGAAGCTGAGTGGTCCCATGTTGAGGCTGTGCCCTGTCTGCTTCCCTCCCTCCCGCATCCCTCCTGGAAGGAAGCGACACCGCCCAGCTTAGTGTGGAGAAGCTGTGGACGGCCCTCGTGTTGGTTTGGTTCATGATGTTCCCGTCATCAAAAGGAGCTAGGTGCGCCTCTTTCCTTGCTCTGGTCACTGAGCCCAGACCAGCACTCTGACATCCTGAGTGTGGCTGCTCCGTCGCCGGGATCTGCTCCAGCTGCAGGCCCCACGGTCTCCACAGCTGGGCAGCAGAATGCATCTGGAGCTGTCCCAGGCAGCAGCTGTCACACTGTACCCCCTCTCCTAGCTTGGAACCCACATTTACCTCCCGAGAGGTGAGAAAAAAGTTGTAAATAGACTTGCTACAGAGCAACTCAGGGTTGGGGTGTGTGTTTATTTTCCTGATAACTTGAAATAATCTGTAGGCCACATGCTTCTGGGGGTGGCTCGAGGTCCTCTTCTGTGGAGCTCTGGTGGAGCGGGGCCTTGAGCCCATCCTCCACCAGCTGCATCCAGATTCTGCACGTTCCGCTGTCCTCTTGTCTGTCCCTGTTGCCTCGGGCCCCTGGCTGTGCAGCCTCATGGTGGCTTTCTGGGCCACCCCAAGTTAGGGAATGGGAGGCGAGAGGGCCTCTGGGCTCTGCCTTCAAGGTTAATCTCTTAAAATGAAACAAAATCATAACCACCTTCAAAACCACATGCAAAAAAGAAAAGAAAAAAAGAACTGTAACCGAAGGAGGGGTTTGGTTCCATTCAACTCCACGTTCATTGTGCCTTTACTTGTGTTAGACTTCTGTGCTTTCCTCCTCTGCGTCGTGGAAGTAATTAAAATCCTCCTTGATAACTGCCGTTTCCTCCTTTCTAGTCTTCTTTCTGACACTCACTGGGCTGCTCCTCTGTGCCCCTCCTCAGCTGGTGCCCCAGGGGCCTGGCCCTCCTCCTCAAGTCCAGTCCAGCCCTTTCCCACGTGGAGGCCGAAGTCAGCGCGGAAGAGATGGGCGAGGGTGCGGGTGTCCGTCTGACTGCATGTGGATCAATTTCTTTAAAAAAATAATTTATTGTATGATTTATCTTAGAGTTATATTCTCATTACAGCGCTCCTCCCAAGTAGCACTGATTTTTTTTTTCCTCCCCCTAAAATGTAAATCTGGTCTCAGGTTGGATTCTTTGGTACATTTCTTTCTTCTGGATGCCGTGTGGTTTAATTAAACCTTGCTAAAAACAAAAACATGAAGCTGCAGATTGTGTGCTCTTTGGAAAGTCACCTTGATGGTGGCACAGGGAGGGGACGAGACCTGTGGCTCTCCTTCCGGGTGGCTGCGGCTCCACTCCCTGCCCCCAGCGGCGCGCCTGTCCTGATCTAGCCAGCAGCCCTGGTGGCTCCTGGACGTTACTGCCCGAGTGCTGCGGACCTCTGGCCTGTGCCCTTTCCTCCTGTTCCTTAGGGATCATGCTACCTGCGCGGCTCAGCTGAGTCTCACGTGAACTCAGGCCTGTGTGTCCTTTGTTTTGGCATAAGTGTTGCTGTTTTTCTTCCCTGCTTTTTTTTTTTTTTTGTGGAACCAGGGATTGAACTCAGGTCCTTGCACTTGCCAGTCAAGCGCTTATTCTACTGAGCCATCTCCCTGGCCCTTCTTCCCTGCTTTTTTTTTTTTTTTTTTTTTAATATTTATTTATTTATTTATTTATTTTGTATGTGTGTGGCCTGCTCAGCCCACCAGGGGGCGGGGCTGGCTGGCATGTGGTGCTGGGGATTGAACCGTGGTCCCTGTGCTTTGCTAAGCTTGTTCTAAGTAGGTGCTTTAGACCACTGAGCCATCTCACCAGCCCCTTCCCTGCTTTTTAAAAATTGTTTTTTTATTTTACTTATTCGATACAGGGTCTCAATAGGCAGTTCAGACTCGTAGTGAACTTCCTGTCTGAGCCTCCCCAGCGCTGGGATTACAGGCGTGTGCCACCACACGGTTTCAGGGCCGGCGGGCTTGCCCCAGGTTCTGGGCCACAAGGCATGCGGTACCAGGGGTTGACCTCGGGTTGCTTGCACTTACCAGGCAGGCACTTCCACCTCCGAGCTATCTCCCCAGGCCTCTCTCCTTTTTAAGCTGCAGTCTTAGCTGGTTTTCTTGAACTTGGACATCAGGTGCAGAAATTTCAAGCAGGCTTTCTTTGCTTCCTGTGGTCAGCTGACACTGCCACGAAGATGTCACGAGCTTAACTTCCACTTTCATCGCTAGCAAAGGGCTTCAAATGCTGTCCTGTACTGATTCATCTTAGGTGTGCATTTAATCACACACACATTTAAAATTAACCTACCAAGGGAGAACCCACTTGATTTTCATCCCGCCTTCCAGGTGATTTGACCCACATTTGTTATTAATATGATTCACAAACTGCCTGTTGATTTAGTTGCTCTGACTCTAGCCTGCGGATGGGGCTGGCCTGGCTGGCTGGCGGGGCAGGTCCCTCTGGCGTGGCCTCATTCCTCCCGCGACACCGCGGTCCTCCTGGCAGTGGACCTCGGACTTATTTCCGGACCCAGGGGAGAGGAGACCTGTGTGGCCCCAGGAACCCAGAGCGTGGCTGTGGTAAGGGCCTCCCTGTGAGCTCCTCAGGACTCACACACCCAATTCTTCCTGCGCTTCCAGGCTGGGGGTCCGCAGAGCCCTAGTCCCGATACTGCCCCAGAGGCCGTGGAGCCGGGCCTGGGCCTCCAGAGGATCCGGGCTGCTGGTGGGCACTGCGCGGGTGTCAGGGAGGGAGGACAGCTGCAGAGAAGGGAGGAGCAGTGTGGTGTGATCAAAACCAGGGTGACTGCTGAAATTGTTAAGGTGTAGTCCGGTAAAAAGTACATTGTTGCAAGGGCCTGTGTTCCACCCCCGGTTCTGCAAAAAAGAAAAAAAACCAAAAACCACATTGTGCTGGACCTGCTCAGCATGCCCTCACTTGCTCAGACACACTTGCGGGCAGGGGTTGTGGCCGGTGTCTTACTGGGGTACATTTTGCTCATGCCTCAAGCACCTATGAAGAGCTGCTGTGAGTCGGGTCAGGAGTCTGATTTCCCGTCACTGTAGCTCTTGCAGTCATTAGTTGTGTCACCTTGGGAAGTTCGCTTGCCCCCTCTGTTCGGGCCTCCCCATTTGTAGGAGGCATAAATACCGACTTTATGGGGTGCTGGTGAGGAGCAATAGAAATACAGGCAAAATACTGCACTCAGCCTGGCCTATGCTTCCTACTGCGGTGGCTCTAACCTCCTGTGCGAACTAAGTACAACCAACCGGGGAGCGTGATAGCACCCCTGCCTGTGTCTCAGCTTTATGGTTCTCTTTTATTTGCTCTTGAAGGATTAAAGATAAATATTTGCCATGGCCTAGAACCGGGTTCCGGCATCTCAAGGAACCTGCTTTAGAAACTGGCCTGCAAATTACTGCTCTAATTTATGCTTTTCATTAAAAGCTCAGCTGGCCTCCTCTATAACTGTCTTCCCCGGCCCTGAAACCCTAGTGTTTAGCCATCAAAGATTTAAAATTAAAGAACCATAACTCTTTTCCAGTCCCCACAATGTGTGGATTAATGTCAAGGAAGGTGGGGGGAGGGGGAAAGCAGTATTTTCACACAGAACAAAATAAAGAGGGGTTGGGGCCAGGGAGACGGCTCAGTAGAATAAGCGCTTCCTTGGCAAGCACAAGGACCTGAGTTCAATCTCCGGTTCTGCCCAAAAACAAACAAGTGTTTCTATTTTGTCCTGTTGAGACCGGGTCTCCCTATGTATTTTAGGTTGTCCTTAAACTGTGTAGCTGAGGGTGGTCTTATGCTTGCCGTAACCCTTCTGTCTCGGCCTCCAAAGTGCTAGTATTGCTGCCGTGCACCTCAACTGAAAAGAGCTAGTTCTTATTTATCACTTCTGGAGCACAGGAGATACTTTGGTGAAACATAAGATCAATGAAATTTTGCACAGTGAAAGACTGAATCCAGGAAGCCAAGGAGCACTGTTATATCCCCAACACTTTTTTTCTAATATATTTAGGACAAGGGTCTACAGGGTCTCACTACGTAGATCAGACTTGCAGTGATTCTCCTGTTCACAGCCTCCCAAGTGCTGGGATCGCAGGCTTGCGACCCCACATCCAGTCTCAGTGCGCCGCCAGGGCGGGGCCGGCACGGCAGGACGAGGATCGAGCCGCAGTCCCCTGCTTCTGCATGAGCAGGCGCTTTAATCCACTGAGCTATCTGGCCGGCCCTTTCGCTGATTTTTGAGACAGGTTCACTAAATTGCCCAGGCTGGCTTGGAACTTGGAATCCTCCTGCTCCAGCCTCCCAAGCACCTGGGGTTACAGGTGTGTGCAACCACGCAGGCTCTAGACTTTACCTACGTACAGAACTTCATCTCGGTGTCAGAAGCGCGGGGTCCTACTGGCGGCCACCACGCCAGGGTTCCGTGACCTCCAACCCCGCACACTTCCCTCAAACTCTCGACCAACAGCAAGGGGCGCAGCATCCCGCCCGGCCTGCAGAGCATCCCTGTATGCTAGGTATTACATAGTAGCTCCTTGAAAATGCAGCCCATCAGGATAATGAAACTGGGTACGTGCGGTTGAGAAGGAACAAGGACATCGTGACACAGGAGCAGGGAACGCTGAAGACTCGCTCGGAGCATGGACTACTCCTCCCGTCGGGCTTTGCGGTGGGGCGGGGCCTAACTTCTCAGCCGTCTTCCCGCGCCATCCGAGAAAGCCCCGGATGTAGACTCCTCCCCCTTTGTCGGGTGGGCGTGGCCTCAGGCCGCTCTGAGACTCGTGGCCGTCTTATTGGCTGTAGGTCTTCCAACGGGATTGGACGCGAAAGCCGGGACGGAGCCCGAGGCGGGCGGCAAGAGTGTGGCGACCAATCAGAATCCTGGCTGGGTTTTGGCGCGAGGTGAGAACTCCGCGGTGGTGCAGATTTGGCGCGAGCAGAGCTTAGTGCTTCCACTGTGGTGTCCGTGGGAGCGCGTGGTGGACAGCACTGAGGCCGCGCGCCACACGCAAGGCAGCCTGCACGAGCCGACGCCGCCTGAGCAGCGAGGAGCAGCTGAAAGAGGCGACTCCGGTGCCGGGAGCGAGCGGAAGGAAGCCGAGGTCTGGCCGGGTCGGGCCGGGTCGGGAGGGACTGCAGAGGTGGCGGTAGCGAGCTACCCAGGTGGTCAACATATCCGCGGGATGAGCGTGCAGGACGGTGTCGTCCCTGCACTCGGGAGGCTGAGGCAGGAGGAGCACAAATGCCAGCCCAGCCTGGGAGACTTAGGGAGACCCTGTCGCCAAATAATTTTTAAAAGGGCTGGGGGTGTAGCTCCTTGCAAAAGCCCAGGACTCAATTCCCAGGATAGACACACACACACAAAGTTACTTAAGATGAACTTAGTGCACACAAAAGCTCAAGTGGTTAAAAACTTGGGGTCCTGGGCAGAAAGCCGAGGGTTGTAATCCAGCTTCGCCTCACATTTCAAAGGTAGGAATGAAAAATAAACATGCCTGCCTCTAAGGCCATGTAAAACCTCCGCGGGTAAGTATGTGAGGTGCTTCAAACAGCTAGGCAGACGGTGGGTGCCAACTCTTATCGCTTAGATTTGGGTGACAGGACTGAATGCCCAAATACCGCAGCATAGCTTGCTGCGGAGTGTGCTGATCGCTGATCGTGTCAGTCAGTCCCCCATTCCTTCTTTGCCCTTCATTTCCATATCTTTGCAGGTTTCCAAGTTCCGTGTAAACAGCCGTGTCCCGGTCATCATGCCCCAAACCCGATCCCAGGCGCAGACTACGATCAGCTTTCCAAAAAAGAAGTTATCTCAGACGTCAGGCAAAACCCAGAACTCTAGGAACGCTAAGCTGGTGCCAACAAATGGCCAAGCTACCCCATCTGCTGCAAAAATTCTGCCGCTCAGCCCCAGAAAACGCCTGGGTAAGGCTTCCCTTGTAGAAGTACCAAGTTTTTCACCTTTCTTTTTTTCAGTGAGATGTCAGTCCTTTGCCAGACTCATGTTCAGTTAAGACTGCTATACTCATTTTCTTTCTTTTCAGAACAGTTGCTGAATGCTTTCTGGACTATTGACTAGGCCTGGTGTTCAGCTGTGACATAGTATTGCATGTTACTTTTATCAGTTTTTTTTTTTTGTTGTTGTTGTTGTTGTTTTTGCGGAACCGGGGATTGAACTCGGGCCCTTGCACTTGCCAGGAAAGCGCTTATTCCACTGAGCTATCTCCCCAGCCCCACTTTTATCAGTTTTAGATCACCTATGTGCTATGAGATTTCCCTCCATATGTGTGAAATTAACGAGTAACCTTCTGACTATTCTCAATCCTTTTCTTCTTTTATTTTTTATTTTTTTTGCGGAACCGGGGATTGAACTCAGGTCCTTGCGCTTGCCAGACAAGCACTTATTCTACTGAACTATTTCCCCGGCCCCTTCTTTTCTTCTTTTAGAGTAGTGGTTGTTTCTCTTTTTCACACTTTCAGTGCTGGGGACTGAGCCCCAGACCTGGAACTTGCCAGGCAAGCGGTCTCCTACTGAGCTACCCCTGGCTCAGGGGCATGTGTTCTGCACTATCTTTTTTTACTAATGCATGTTGGTTGTGGAGATGGGTGGGTTTCCTTTTGGCAGACTGATAAGTGCATGTAACACACTGGGGCCACCCCACCCTTGCCCTGTCCTCCTTTTTGTTTTTATGTTTTAGGCAAACTATTCTTTGTTTTGTTTTGTTTGTTTTGGTCTTTTATTCTTTATTTTAGGGAAGGGTCTACAGGGTGTTCAGGGCCTCACTACTAGATCTGACTCGGAGTGATCCGCCTGTTTACAGCTTCCCAAGTGCTGAGATAACAGGCATGCGCCACCACACCCAGTCTCAATTGCTGCCTCAGCGCACCTGGGCCCCTGCACTGAGCTATTTGGCTAGCCCTACAAACTCTTTTTTTTTTTTTGTCTTTTTGAGACAGGGCCTCACTTGTGTGTTTCAGGCTGTCCTTAAGCTCAGTGTGGTCCGGACTGGCCTCAAACTCTGTGATCCTCCTGTCTCAGCCTCCTGAGGGCTTGGTTGAGAGTTGCACACCAGCAGGGCTAATGTGAGCTTCTGTTTTCAAGGGAGAGTGTCTGGGCTTTGCGAGTCTAGAGATGTTCTTGTTATTACACTGAGGGTTGCTGCTGGCATCAGCCAGCGGGGCTGGTAAGCATCCCACAGCGCACGTGACAGGCTGTCCCCCAACTAAGAGTGATGTAGGTGAGGCCTTAGCTTTGCAGAAGTTGGGGAATCCTGGTTGTGAAGTCTCCCATAAACCCATCCTAGCAAAACTCAGAGGCGCCATCTGGTGGCCGTACGTGCATGGAGGCGAAGATGCAGGGATCTTCGATCCTGAGTGAGCCCATTTCGCCTTTGCCTTCCAGGCGAGGACAACCTTTGCAACACCCCCCACCTCGCTCCGTGTTCCCCACCCAAGCAAGGCAGGAAGGAGAATGGGCCTCCTCGCTCTCGTACCCCGAAAGGACGCAGATTGATATTCGATGATCAGCTGACTGTTAAGTCACCCAGCAAAAACCAGCAAACCAACAAGACAGCCTCCTCCCCCGGGAAGGGCGCAGCGAGCCCAGCCAGATGTGAGCAGAAGTGTCCGCAGGAGAAGGAGCCCCTGCGTCTGCGGTTGTTCAAGCAGGAAGGTGCGGAGCCGTGAGCGCTGCCCAGGACGCGGGGCCTCGGAGGGGGTCTCCATGCCGCCCTGCGCGGGCCTGATCGTTCTTCTCCTTCTACCGCAGGAACTTGCTACCAGCAAGCCAAGCTCGTCCTCAACACAGCGGTCCCGGAACGGCTGCCTGCCAGGGAGGCGGAGATGGAAGTCATCCGGAGCTTCCTGAGGGGGCACATCCGCGGGAAGAGGGCGGGCAGCCTGTACCTTTCTGGCGCTCCTGGGACCGGGAAAACGGCCTGCTTAAGCCGGGTTCTGCAGGACCTCAAGGTGTGTGGAGGGACGGAGGAGGAGGAGTTGAGCTGGACGGAGGTCCCTCCGCGTCTTCCCCATCACTGCATCTTTCCCAGTGCAAGCAGTCTCCTCTCCGCTGCTGCTGCCCTACGCATTTCAAGTCGCATCAACTTTCTCGCCGAGGCGGCAGTAACTCCCATGTTTGTATGGCTTTCTTTTTTCTAGAAGGACATGAAAGGCTTTAAAACCATCATGCTGAACTGCATGGCCTTGCGGAGCGCCCAGGCTGTCTTCCCGGCTATCGCTCGAGAGATTTGTGAGGAAGAAGCAGCTGGAAAGGACGTGATGAGGAAGTTAGAGACGCAGGTGACGGCAGAGAAGGGCCCCATGCTGTAAGTGCGGCCGAGGCTGTGAGAGCTGCTTGCGGGAGACTCGAGGGAGGAAAGATGGATTTCTTTTTTCTTTTGTATTTTTAGGACAGGGTCTACAAGATCTCGCTGCATAGATTGGACTTATGATCCTCCTGTTTACAGCCCCCCAAGTGCTGGGATTACAGGCACATGCCACCATGCCCAGTCTCAATTGCCATCTCAGTGAGCCCCAAGGGCAGGGCTGGCACAGCAGACCCAGGGATTGAACTCCTGGCCTCTGTATCTGCCTAAGCAGGCACTTTAATCCACTGAGCTATTTGGCTGGCCCTGTATTTCCTGATTTATTATTTTTTTTTAAATACTTTTCTTTTTTTAAAATTTATTTATTTTATTTATTTATTTATGTGTGTGTGTGGCCAGCTCAGCCCACCAGGGGGCGGGGCTGGCTGGCATGTGGCGCTGGGGGATCGAACCGCGGTCCCTGTGCTTTGTTAAGCTTGTTCTAAGTAGGTGCTTTAGACCACTGAACCATCTCACCAGCCCTATTTCCTGATTTAATTTTTAAAAAAAAAAATTTTAATCATTTATTTGCTACAGGGTCTTGCTATGTAGCTCAGACACGTAGCAGTCCTCCTGTGTCAGCTTCCCCAGTGCTGGGATTACAGGTGTGTGCCACCACTCCTGGTTCCAGTGGTGGGCACGGAGCAGGACTGGCATGGCATGTGGTATAGGGATCAGACCTGGGTCCTCGCACATGGATAGCTTGGCAGTCTTAAGTGCCTGCCTGGATTATATAACAAGGTGTTATTACCAAAAAAAAAGGCAATTGCTTAAAAAGCCCTGGGTTGTGCTTGTGGGCGATGAGGGGGGCCCCATCCTTCTCCCAGTGGCAAGAGATGGGACTGGATGGAGTCTTCACCCTGGTCTCTCCACAGGGCCCTGAGGGTGACTACCTTCTAATCGTGTCTCTTCCTTCGCAGTGTATTGGTGCTGGATGAATTGGACCAGCTGGACAGCAAAGGACAGGACGTGCTCTACACACTGTTCGAGTGGCCGCAGCTCAGCAATTCCCGACTGGTGCTGATTGGTTAGTGCCCGGCTGTTGGCATTGCGGATGCTTCTGAAGTTTCTACTTTATTTTATTTATTTATTTTTGAAGTTTCTACTTTAGATCTTCAGTTTGTTTTTTGAGCCAGGGTCTTACTATATAGTTCAAGCTGGCCTTGAACTCACAGCAATCCTCCTGCCTCAGCCTCCCAAGTGCTGGGATCACAGGCATGCACTTTGGGGTTTATTTGTGACCTGTCATTTTCTGTTTTTTTTGTACTGGAAATTGAACTCAGGGGCTCTACTTGCCAGGCAGGCGCTGTGAGCTACATCCCCGGCCCTAACCTGTTGTTTTGTTAAACTAGCTGTCTTCTTGTCAAATTAGAGAAATTACTAGAAAAGGACAATGATTTTAACCTAAGGCAAATCAGTCTTGTTAGGTCTGGGTAAAAATGACCCAGGAGCTAGACGTAGTGTTCTGTGCCTGCAGCTCCGGCTACTTGGGAAGCTGAGTCAGGTGCATCGCAATTTCAAGGGCAGCACAAGCAGCATCGACCCTGGGCTGTGACTGGTAGTGTCCGTGCTTAGCACTGAGGAATCCCAGTGGTACCCTGAACCCCCAAAATTGTGTGTGTGTGTGTGTGTGTGTGTGTGTGTGTGTGTGTGTGTTCAGACAGGGACTCACTCTGTAGCCCAGGCTGCCCTTGAAGTCACACTCATCCTCCTGCCTCCGCCCCCCACGTGCATGCCACACCCAGCAGAACACACACACAGTGTGTTAAATATGCACGTACGCGTGGATATGCGTGGATACTGCTTGGTGGTGCAGCACCCACCTGGTAAGCGCAAGGTAATGAGTTCAGCTCCTGGCGCAAAAATGCTGCATTTCAGAAAAAAAAAATAGACTTGTGGCCTTGGCTCCTGCTTCTTGGTGAACAATTCTTTTTTTTTTTTTTTTGTGACAGGGTCTTGCTATGCAGTTCAGGCTGGCCTGGAACTCGCAATGATCCTCCTACCTCAGCCTCCTGAGTGCTGGGGTGACAGGCAGGCGCCACCACATCTGGCGCTGTGAACAATTCTAATACAAACTCGAGTGTTTTACAGTGACCACACAAAATACTAGGAATGGGGTGGAGGAAGGGACTGGCACCTGCAGCTCTAGCTGGAGTTCTGAGTTCTCTTGCCAGTTTAGCTGTTCTAGGATGATTCCCCTGATGGGTATTTGTCCTTCTCAGGGATTGCCAATACCCTGGATCTCACAGACAGAGTTCTGCCCAGGCTCCAGGCCAGAAAGAACTGTAAGCCTCAGCTGCTGAACTTCCCGCCTTACACCAAAGATCAGATAGCTGCTATCCTACACGATCGGCTTGGTCAGGTGAGGCCCCGCCAGCACTCCCTGGAGCACTCCCGCTGAGGACGCCAGCAAAGTTCTGGAATGTTCTGTTCTGGTTGCTCTGCTGTGGACACAGGCCTTGCCTGTGGACCACAGTGAGGACACTTACATCACTTTCACATGTAGCCCCATTGATTGGATGCCCCGGTGTGGAGCAGGAGGCTGAGGCAGGAGGGTCACTGTGAATTTGAGGCCAGCCTGGGCTATGTAGTGAGACTTTCAAAAAAGAAAACAACAGGGGCCAGGGAGATGGCTCAGTGGAATAAGTGCTTCCCTGGCAAACACAAGCAAGGGTCGCTATATGAATAGGGATATAACTCAGAGGTAGAGTGGTGGCCTACCGTCCCAAGGACTGGGTTCCATCTTCCCTACAGGGGAAAAATTACTTTTCAAACTTCCACACTGAGTGGTAGCATTCCTTAAAGAACTCTTATATTTCACAAACACACAACAAATAGATACCATGCTGGCCTCGGACTTGGGAGTCCCCTGCCTCAGCCTCCCAAGTAGCCGGGATTTGTGCTACTGCACCTGACAAAAGTTTTCTTTTAGTGGCTTGCATTCCAGCTGGTATTGTTTTCAACCCCCACCCCACCCCCAGTTTCGACCTCGCTCACCAAACTCTTAACAACCATGAGCACTCCACGATCTCCTCCTCCTCGTGGGTTTATGTTGTGGTCCCCGCTTGGACCCCTGCTGAGCGGGCAGCGGGCCCCAGGCCCAGTGGTTCTGGGCAGGAGCACCTCCTCAGGCCCTGGGCTTGTGCTCACCGGGAGAATGTCTTGCAAAGAGGGTCCTGCAGCCCCGACCTCACCTGAGCGTCCCCTCCGCAGGTGGCCGCCGACCGCGTCCTGGACGCCGCCGCCATTCAGTTCTGTGCCCGCAAGGTCTCGGCTGTTTCCGGGGACGTCCGGAAAGCGCTCGATGTTTGCAGGTGAGTTACAGCGGCGGCACCGTGGGCTGCTTTTATGAGGCCAAGAGGAGAAAAGGAAAGACGCTGTAATTGTCTCGGTAACTCGTGGAGGGGCGCGGAAAGCAGGGCTTGCTGCTCGGCGGGGAGCCCTGGTCTCCCCGGGTTAATGTCTGAGACATTATCAGTCCATTGCCTACAGGGGGAGAAACAAATGAGATGTCGCTGGCGCTCCCGTGGTGATTATAGATTGGTTAATTACATTTGTATTAAAAAAGGCTCGGTTTACTTTTCCATTAGCTGATCTCAAGCAGGTTTATTTATGGACCTGAACCGCCTCTGCCTGCCGGGAGACTCTTCTCTCCCTTCCCTTCCGTGGACGCCCCCTCGTCCTCCAGGTGGTGGTCCCCCGGCTCCCCCAGACCTCCTTCTCCCTTCCCTCCCCGTCCTGCGCTGGGGAGGCCTCCACACCACCACCGACTGATGCGGTTTCTTCCTCCGGTAGGGACCCGGGGCCCATTAAGATGGCCCTGGCAGCGCTGCCCGCTGCTCCGTCCTGTCCCGCCACCGGGCGGCAGCTCCGAGCCTGGCTGGCGTCCTGGGCGCCCAGCACTAATTGCTATCGCACGGGGCTGGCTTGCAAAGTTTGCCCCAGCCAGCAGGGTGCCCAGAGTCCCAGTGACAGCCGCGGGCGGCCTGCAGAGCGCTTCCCTGGCTGCCACCCCGGGTGCTGCCAAAAACCCACGACTTCCAGTGTCGCCGGTCCCCACCCGGCGTTACTGGTTCGTGTTTAGTGACCTACTTGGCATCCATAAGAGGACACCATGGAGTGTGGAAGCGTCTCACCCCCGGCCCGTGAATTATTGGGAGACGATTAAGACCACTTTCGTGAGACATAACCCAGTTCTGTTTGGAGGCTTTACATTTTTAAAGCATGCTGTTTTTAAGTTAATGGGCCAGCTTTTGCGCTTGGTGGTCTGGTGCGGGCTTGGCTTGGCTCAGACTAAATTAATTTTAAAACTTTTTTTTTTTTAATAGGAGAGCAATTGAAATTGTAGAATCAGATGTCAAGAGCCAGACTGTCCTCAAACCACTCTCTGAATGTAAGTATTTATCTCCTTCCTGTCCTTTTCTCTTTGTTTGTTTGTTTGTTTGTTTGTTTGTGACAAGGTCTCATTATGTAGCCCAGTCTGTCCTTGAACTTGGTGATCCTCCTGCTTCAGCCTCCTGAGTGCTGAAATGCAAGCACGTGCCACCACATCCTCCCGGTCTTCCTTTATGATTGGAGGCTTCTCTGAAGGAGGAAGTGGAAAGATGAAAGGAGGCCAGGTGTGGTGGTGCGCGCCTGTGATCCAGCCCTCAGGAGGCTGTGGCGGGAGGATCCTTGCGAGCTGGTGACCAGCCAGGGCTACAAAGGGAGCCCAAGGCCTGCCTGAACTACTGCATAGTGAGGTCCTGTTTGAAAAAGACAAAAGGAGGAGAAGAAAGGAAAAATGAATGTAGTCAAATCATGCACAAATCCTTTTTATTATTATTATTTGTGTGTTTGTATTTGATACAGGGTCTCACTCCACAGTTCAGACTCGTAGTGGTCCTCCTGTTTTCAGCTTCCCCAACACTGGGATTCCAGGTGTGCACCACCACACCCAGTCTCCGTGGCAGTCAGCACATGCGGGACTGGGGATCACACTCTCCCTGTGCGTGCCAGGAAGGCACCTAGACCCCTGAACTATCTCCCCAGACCCTCAAATCTTTGACTCTTTCCTATCTGTACCATAATCCATGCAGTATTAGAAATAGTCTTCCTTAGGGGCCAGAGAGGTAACTCAGCGGACTAAAGCACC